ATATATATATATATATATATATATATATGATTATATAGATGCTTTTGTTGTGCCTATTGAAAGGGACTAGGGGTAATGACACTTCAATAGCAAAGAATACATATAGAAACCAGATTTTGGCTTTTAAATACTAATCTTTATATAAGAGGGCTTCCTGTAAAAATAGCATATTAAAGGACTGGGGCAGGCAAAGTGTGTAAGACAAGTCCAAAACAGAAAGTTTTGGGCCAGAAAGTAAGATATAATTAAAATAAATAAGGGTAATATCTAAAGGACCAACTCAGCTGAGATAAAAAACAAACAAACACAAAACACTGAATTTAGTAAGCCCCACCAAAAATTACTAACCTAGCCCTGACCGGTTTGGCTCAGTGGATAGAGCGTCGGCCTGCGGACTGGAGGGTCCCAGGTTCAATTCCGGTCAAGGGCATGTACCTTGGTTGCGGGCACATCTCCAGTAGGGGGTGTGCAGGAGGCAGCTGGTCGATGTTTCTTTCTCCTTGATGTGTCTAACTCTCTATCCCTCTCCCTTCCTCTCTGTAAAAAAATCAATAAAAATATTAAAAAAAATTACTAACCTAAAAATAAATGGTATAATAAATTGCAATTAATTTTATTCTAAAGAACCTTGGAGTCATTTGTACTTTCTGATACACAAGGGTTAAGTTTTCATATAAAAATAAAGATCAAATTATAAAAAAAAAACATTGCATGAAATTTTCATAATGATTAAATGAAGTAGGGAATGGGAATGGAAATCTCTATTTAGATCTTCTGGCCCCTAACTATAGCTCAGATAATGGTAGGTCTTACTACATAAATTAAGATTCAGAATTGACATCAATAAAACGTGTCATAGCGACCTGATTTCCAAAACAGCTGTTTCATAATGGCTTACCTCAGGCAGAAGAAGATAATACAAGTATGAATATGGATTTGAAGATGTTAGACCTATCAGCACTGTGAGAGGGAAAGTAACTTAAAACAGACCACACTGATTCAAAATTACCAGATATGGAAGAGGACACATTACAGTAACTCATTGTCACTCCAGTGACCTTAGAATTAAGACCGCATTCATAATTCCAAATTTGTCTCTAAGGAGTAACTCTGAGTTGGGACTATCTGCATCATTAGGTAATTTCCTTAGGTCGTAGTAAAAGCACTTTAACTATGAATGTTACTTCCATGGCATATTGGATGTCACACAAGTTAGTAACAAAGTGACCTTTCTCTTAAACAATTCATAGATTCACTAGAATTTTCTTAAACTTTCAGGAACCAAATATATTTCACAGTCTTACAGGTCTCAAATCTTGGTTTTCCTCTGAAATCTTTATGTACCCTGCTCAACACCATTTCCCCTTTGTACAGTTTTGTTTCTTATAATTTTCACTTTAGTTAATCTTTATTCCAGGTTTAATTGTTCATATTTTTACCTGTACACTTCCCTATTGCTAAATAAGCATTTGCATAATAAGCTTTGTTTCAATATTTCAATATCTCTTGATATTTATAGTAAAAATTAAAATAGCTATTTTACTATATGTATTTTCAGATTGTGTGATTCTTCTCTTTTATTGAAAATAAAGTAGGAACATTCTCAGTTATTGGGAAAGCATAGCTATTTACTAGAGAATATCTCAACCACAGTGTATAAAACTGAAGGTGAGATTTACTGAAACTGTACTGACCAATACAACATGGTAAGCTGCATTTGGCCTTGATCAAAAATTATTTTTAAGTTCTAAGAAAAGTTAAAAATAATTGTTGGACAAAGTGACTTAGAGCAGTGAAGCATTCCATAGGGTAAGAAGGCTATGCTTAGGAATGGAGTTCAGGAGCTCTGGGAACATCAGTATGATGCCTGGGTACACTGTTAGTTTTGGTTAGCTTTAGGTTGGCCGTATAAAAACAAAAACATCAGATACCACAGATCTAACTGTGTCTCCTGTGCTTTTAGTTATATGTGTATAGGCAAGATTGTGGGACATGGCAAAATTAGCGCCTGGTTGATATTAAATTTATAATATTTAATTTGGATGTGGTATTTAGACTTTTTAGTATTTATTTGGAATGAGTATATTATGGAGATACAATATATTTTTCTGTAGATCTTTCTAATACCTCCCGGAAGCACAGCAAACCATGTCTCCACCCAATAGCATGCAAAAGCTATTGTGTTCTCCCTCACCTACCACTTGCCTGATTTTTCAGATTTATTTCTCTCTTCAAACACTAGCTGTGAACTCCTAATTTAAGGGCTTAGACTCTGTAGCTACCCCTTATCCTAATTGGCACAACAAAAACCTTTGTAAAATAATTTTCTAATACTGGAGAGAAGTGTGTATGTTGGTTTAAGGATGCTGTTCAGGTAATAAAGCGTCACTGAGGGTCATGAATTCACATAAATATCTCCAATTTTCATGAAGTCAGAGCAGGTTACCAGTAAACCATTTATTACTAAAGGGCATTGTCTTCTTAAAAGCCATATTATTTTTCTCAAAATATTACCTTCATTCCCCGCCCCTGTAAAATCAAAGCACAATTTTAAGAAATTGCTCTTTCCCTTTTCAGGGTCTACTTTTCTAATAAGATTTCTTCGAATTATATTTCTAAATCTCTAGCAACCATAGCACCACATAAAAGAGGCAGCTCAAAAAATGTAGCAGACACGGAATAACAGATATGCAGCCCTGAGTACACATACAAAACTTTAAGTCTAAATGAAGTACTCTGAGCTAATTTCTCCGGTCAAGGAGAGAATATGGTCTTTGAATGCCTGATAAGGTCACAGGCACAATTTCAAGTGCATGCATTTATGATCAATCCCTGTGACAACTCCTGTAGCCAGTAACCTGCTTCTGCCCTTAGGGTACTCGGTGCAACATTCCTTGTGTGTCTACCATGCCTGTAAGGGTAGCAGAAGCCCCCTGAGGAATGCCAGACTTGGGAAATATTAGCAACAGCTCACACAGGAGTTTCAAGTTGTTACTTGGAAGTGATGAGTAGCTTTCTCTTACAAAAGCGCTAGAAACTAAAATTTACTTTGAAATAAGTTGAGGTATTGGCAATGGTGACTGAGAAATAATTGTTATAATTTAAAATTGTCAGTAAAGCTGGAACCCTTAACTCATCAACCATAAAATAAATATTATAGGACTTTATCAGTTTAGGTTGTTATTGAAATGTGACTTTATTTTCTTTAATGTATTTTTTATTGAGTTCAGAGATGAAGAGAGAGGGAGAGTGACAGAAACATCATTGATGAGAGAGAATCATTGATTGGCTGCCTCCTGTACACCCCACACTGAGGATGGAGCCCATAACCTGGGCAGGAGCTCTGACTGGGAATTGAACTGTGACCTTCTGGTTCATAGGTCGATGCTCAACCACGGAGCCATGCCGGTCGGGCTGATTTTATAGTATTATTAATTATAAAGAATGAAGATGATACTAAAAGCTTAATTGTAAAATTACTCTAATACTGACTTCATAATCATATTTGTTTCCTAGGGTGATGGCTTAACCACTATGGTGACCTACAGCCACAAAGAAAACAATATCACCCTTCTGGGATTTCCAATGAAAGCAACAAAGGATGCAACACACCCCTTTCTGGACCACCTTCAAGCTCAGCTGTGACACATGCTGTGGATAATTTACTTTCAGCCAAGGATTACTATCTACTATTTGTTGAGTGTGGTGGTCACCTCCAGCTATATAGGTATCTGGAATGGTAATGACATCAATTTCAGTGCAAAGAGAGGACTTTTGTGAGTTCAGGGAAATGTAAATATGGGAAAGAATGTTTTATGTCCTAGATATTTATTTATCTACTTATATATTTAGAATGCAGCAAAAAGGAAGTTAAATAGAAAGAAAATTGGAAAAAAATAAATGAAACTGTTGTATCCTCTACAGCAGCGGTTCTCAATCTGTGGGTCGCAACCCCTTTGGGGGTCGAACGACCCTTTCAACAGGGGTCGCCTAAGACCATCGGAAAACACATATATAATTACATATTGTTTTTGTGATTAATCACTATGCTTTAATTATGTTCAATTTGTAACAATGAAAATACATCCTGCATACCAGATATTTACATTACGACTCATAACAGTAGCAAAATTAGTTATGAATTAGCAACGAAAATAATTTTATGGTTGGGGGTCACCACAACATGAGGAACTGTATTAAAGGGTTGAAGCATTAGGAAGGTTGAGAACCACTGCTCTACAGTGAAAGAATACTCTTCTGGGTTACAAATAAGAGGTTTACGTCAACCTGCAGAAAATAAATGTGAAAAGGTCTTGTAGCATCTGATAGAATTTTGGTTTGTTTACTCACCCACAGGAGACATTTCTGGGACACTAGCAACATATGGTCCATCCAAAAACTTTGGCTCATTATCATTAATATCCTGCACTTTGATGATGAATTCTGATTCAGGCTCCAGGGGCTTCCTGGTTTCTATGTCCACAGCCTGAGCACGAAGCGTGTAGAAAGGTTTTTCTTCTCTATCCAGGCTCCTTATTGCATGAATGTCCCCTGTAGTTTCATCAATGGTGAAAACGGTGCCAGCGCCATCTCCAGAGAGGGTGTATTTAACAGTGCCCTCTCCCTTATCTAAGTCAGAATGGAGCTTTAGGGAGAGAGGGGGAGAGAGAGAGAGAGAGAGAGAGAGAGAGGGAGAGAGAGAGAGAGAGAGAAAATGAAGACCATTAAAGATATGGTTCTAGGTTAAAAAGCCATACTTGCAGTACAATTTTTAATCAGAAAAGGTAAACAAAAACAATATAATTCCTTTTTTCTGTTTGTTTTTGTTCACCAACCTTTTAATTATAAACATTTTAAACACACAAGAAAACAAAGTTTGAAAAATATATGGCGAACACCTGTATAACCCAAAGACTCCACCATTCACCTTTGAATCTACTTGACTTCTCACAGTTAGATCCCATATCTGTCCTTCACTCCAGCTTTCTCTCAATCCATCTTATTGCTCAGTACATTGCAGATATCAGAAGTACAGTCCCCAAATACATGAGCATGCATAAATACAAGGATTTTGAACACTTGTATCTATTCGCTTCTTTTTTTTTCTTTATTGATTAAGGTATTTCATATGTGTCCTTATTCCCCTCATTGCCCCCACTCATGCCCTCACCTCCCTGGTGTCTGTGTCCATTGGTTAGGCTTATATGCATGCATACAAGTCCTTTGGTTGATCTCTCCCCCTTACCCCTACCCTCCCCTGCCTTCCCTCTGAGGCTTGATGGTTTGATGGATGCTTCTCTGTCTCTGGATCCTATTTGCTTCTTTTACATACTTTTGCTCTTAAACTCTACATTTTAGTTTAGGTTCAGAAAGATAACATCATCATTCAAATTAATGTTATTAACATAAATATATTCATTTTGTAAATTTATATTGATCTCAAAATTTGCTCTGAAAGTATATATGTATATAAGTATAAGCAAAGGATTTAGACCTGAGCAAGTTATCTAATTAAGAGAATGAGAACACAATAAGGGGACACTAGATTTTGATTTTTCTTTGAAAGTTTCTGTATATTTTACTCAAGTCTAAGAAAAATGCTATGAATGATAGGAGGAAGCATCTCACCCCCTCCCCCCTCCAATTCTTCATAAACTGCTGTGAAGCATAAGAAGGTTCAAGCGTAAAATCAAGCTGTAGATAAATCTTCTTTGAACCTCAGAATTTCAAATTACAGATTCCAACCATACTATTAAAAATATCCAACACATTGGGTATTGCTTTTGCTTTCAAATTCATCTAAAGATATGAGACAGGCAAATGCTCAATGCAAAAGCAATGACTTTATAAACTGTATCCATTTTGTCAACAGCTCAAAAAAATATGTGGTAATATTGCGGAAACGGAGTGAAAATTCTAAATAGGTTTTTACAATGTGATCCAAGTAGTTACCAAAAAAATCTTCATTTAGCTAAAATCAGAACCATTTTCTTTTTGAACTGACATAATAAAAAAGCAAATGTGTTTTCAGCTCTCTCCAAAATCCAAATTAAATTCAGTGTTGCTACTCCTTCCTCTTCCACCTTTTCCTTCTAATTTAAATCTGAGTTTTGTAGAAATTAAAACTTCAAAAAATATTTGAAGGTTTGGGGCAGGGGGTGGGGGCAGGGCAGGCTAGAAGGAGTCAATGGGGGAGGAAGGGGGACATATACTTTCAAAAATTAAAATATATATATATATGTTAAATTTTGAACTGAAAATGAACTTATTTAATGTAAAGCTCTTGAGAAGATTAGAATTTTTATAGTAGCTCATTGCAGGATAATACCTTAAAGGAGATCACATGCAATAACCTGCATTGGCAGGCAATATTCAAAACCAGTTATTCAGTGCTGATTAAGTCAGGCACAGAGGTGACTAGCTTACACTATAGGTGTTTATTCACAATCAATCTAATATTAAATAAGTGGTGTTCACCTGATGTTGGGTACTGTAAAATCTTCTTCATATTACATATTAAATAACTTGAATAGAGAATGTAATAAACTAAAGTGAAACTCTCTTACCTAGAGATAACTTCTTTAATCATTTTTATACACTTTCAGTTATATATATTCATGTTAATAAATGTATATGAATATATACATATCTAAAATGGTTCACATATATTAACATATTCATATATTTTCTCATATGTCTATGTAATTGTTTTCTTATTGTATATACATACATGCATAATTATTAAAATGATAAATGAGTTGCCCTAACCGGTTTGGCTCAGTGGATAGAGCGTCAGCCTGTGGAATTGTCCCAGGTTCGATTCCGGTCAAGGACATGTACCTTGGTTGTGGGCACATCCCCAGTAGGGGGTGTGCAGGAGACAGCTGATCAATGTTTCTTTCTCATCGATGTTTCTAACTCTCTATCCCTCTCCCTTCCTCTCTGTAAATAATCAATAAAATATATTTTAAAAAATGATAAATGAGTCAATACTTTCAATAACAATATATTATAATGATTTTCAGTGTCATTTGAAATTATTCAAAATTACTTTTAAATTTCCGTATTATATTCATTTAAGGAAGTCAATGGATTTTGCTTTTCTCTTAATAAAAAATGTGATGAATGTGTGTGTCCAACTTTTTAGTTCCTCAAAATACAAGGGTGATTTTTAAGATCAAAACCATGATCACTTTTATCAACATTTTTGAATCTTGAATGATTCCAGAAATTGATCTCTATAGATGAATTTATTTTTAATTTTTCAGCATGGGAATCTAACTCAGGCTTAGCTTACGCTGCAAGCTACAGCTTAGTTCATTTGCATGAAGAAGGGAGGGTGCAGAAGGGGGAATTCTTGTGCTTTGCCTCATCTGAGTTGTGTTCAGAAAAAATCACATGATGCCCTTTTATACAGAGGCTTTAAGCTACACATACAGAAAGCTAATAACTACTTCAGAGCCATTTAAAAATAACAGCAAGCGATGTTTCTTATTTCAATTATTTTTAAAAAGCTTTTTCTGGGTAGGTGATGACTATTTACTGACTGACACAGCCAACTCCAATAAAATCATCTTCTAATACTGACACTTAAAATAACATTTGTCCTAGAAACAGAGTTCCATAAATGGTGGATGTAGAAATATGCGGTGTCCAGGCAGTTGTTTTGTGGAAGTGGTGTTGTTATTTTCTGCTGTTTTCCAAGTCACCTCAGATGGAGCGTGAAAATGAGATGCCAAAAGAGGCTTAAAAAAGATACTGAGGTCTAGTGTCAGAGTGTAAGTGAAACTGAATTTTAGGACTTAAAAGTTTCGAGAAAGCTAATCTAAAGTCAAGTACTTACTAGCATATCTCTGATTATATTTTAGAAACCGCTGCACAAAAGAAGGAATTTATTCTTCTTTTCTCTGGGTTAAAAAGTGCACCTAAGAGTATAAAGTTTTTATAGTACCATGTCCAGCAGTGATTTTTATTTTCATTTGCTATTTGCCCGGATAGGGGGTGGTTACTAGGCATGGGGAGAGAATGGGGTTTGTTGAAAGGAGAAATTGTTTTATTTACATATAGGATGTATTCAGATAAACTTGCAAAAATAAATATAAGGCAATTTTATGTGAGTTTCTTTGGCTGAAAAAAAATTTCATTATGTATGGAACAAATGACTTTTGCTGGATTCTCCTTGGTGATCTTATAAAGTACTAAGTGTTTTTTATAGTTGCTTAGGTTTCCTGTTAATGCCTGCTCTGTTCTCAGGAACATCACAGTGGCCATTGTTATTAGCAACAGTGCCATTAGATTGTTTTTAACTCGTTGTTTATTGACAAAGGAAGACCAGACCCAAAGATGATTTATAACTCTGTCTGAGTAATGGAATCATGCAAACGTTTTTCTCTTTCTGAAGCCACTGAATGCTCAAGAATATTTGACATCTATTCCGTTCTGTTCCCGGAGGGGACTCATTTGTTCTTCCTCGCTTGGTTGTTGCCATTCCAGCAAGAGGAATACTACTTTACAAGGTTGGGAATTCCCTTCAACAGCCCAATGTGGGTTGAGAACTCCCCTGCCTGGGTTACAGACCCAAAGCTATTTATCATCTGGAAATATTTCAACTTCTATTTAAGAAAGTAGAAACCCATTTCAAAAAGGCCCACATTTCCCCAGAGGTATGCTAAGGAGGAGCAAAGAACAAAGGCTATTTACCATGCTTGGGAGCAACAAAAGCTAATGTTTTAGGATATAGTATACATCCTGTTGCTAAAAGGAACCAACAGGCCCCAAATGGCATCTTGTGCTGTGCCCCACATCACCCAACCAAGTCAATTAACCTAATTGTCTCAACCTCTCCCAGGAACGTCACCTTGAACAAGTCAACCTGGAACTACTTGGTCGGCACTAGAGAGATCACCTGCCAGCCAGACTCCTTCCTTTCCCCTTAGGAGGGTGATCTTGCATGAAGTGATGAGTCCTTTGCTCATCTTTTTCTGCCTCCTTTCCATCCATAAAAACCTTCTCCAGCTCCGCAGAGCTCCTTGCTATTTACTGTATGGGAAGCTACCTGATTCATGAATCACTGAATAAGCCCATTTGATCTTTCAATTTACTCCGTTGAATTTTTGTTATTTAACACTGCTAAAGAGAAAATATACTATCCACCCGATATTCTCTTTCATCTTTCCTTTTGTCCTTGATTATTATATGTGTGGTCATATGTGAGAGGCATCCTGTGTGTTTTTTTCAGATTGTCCTATTTTACAACTTGAGCTCACCCAGATTATATTAAATCATTTGAGAGTGTCACAATATATTAACAGGTATTTCTGCAAAAGTTTGAGAGGTCATTGGCATGGTGCCTGGATTTAGAAGGAAAAATATGGAAGGAGAAGGTTAAAATAATTTTTCATACATTTCCAAAGCTGTAGAACATTTTTCACAGAGCCGTTTTTTAGGTAACAAAACATTTCCAGACAATAAACTATTCTGATCAAACCATCGTTAATGGAATCTCTGTTTTTGAAATAAAAGTGCATTTTATGTATGGTTTTAAGTGTGGTTATTTTTTCAGAATACTAGGTAGATTTTTATGTTTTATTCTAGATTTAAAGGGACAAAAATGATGGCTCATTAATAACAATGATACATTGTTAC